TCCATTTTGCCTAGTTATAAATGATTGGTCTGCAACATTTGTAAATTTTATCAGTACTTGTTACACTTAAAAATATATTAGTTATCAATGCCTTTTGCCTTGTTGTGATTCTCTTTTGCCTTATGTTATTCCTTTTTGCCTAGTTATAATTGGTTGGTCTACAACACTTATAAATTTTATCAATAGCTTATTATACTTAAAAATATATCAAATCGTCAATGCCTTTTGCCTCGTTCATTCTCATTCTCCCTTACCCTGTTGTATTTCCCTTATCTTAGTTGTAAATGGTTAGCTTACAACAAAGTTGTTACAACCTATTGGTCAATTGTATGTTATGTGATAAATAATGTAAAGGTTTTTTGACAACATTGTGAGGAACTTATCTTGTCAACAATTGTATATTGGTGAGAACATGTATGACCATTTGGTTGAAATTAAAACCAATATTCATCCTTGATATAAGCATTTATAAAGTGAAATATACAAAATGAAATTTCAAAATACTATGTAACAAGGTAAGTACATAAAGTACAAAAAATTTCTATCCTAAAATAATAGGCACAACTTGGATAGCTCTTCTATCTTCTCTTTTTTGCTTTAGTTTGATCTTGATAATACAACATGATAATGGGTTCATTTTCATTATTGGAATGATTGAAAAGCCACCATATGCATTCAATTTTCTTCTTTCAGAGGTCTTCTTACATAAACAAATTAGAAAAGAAATTGTGGCCCTAAAAAGGTGAGTAAGCAACAGATTTATTAGCTCAACCTGCATAGCACAACATAATAAGAACTACTTGTAACATATTGAAAACTTATGCTTAAGCTATTAACAACACATATTACCATTTCATAATAGATTTATCAGCTCAACCTAAATGACAACAACATATTAACTAACAATTATTCATAGCATATTAACAACTTACACTTAAGCTATTAACAACATATCTTGCTATTTCATAATGGATTTATCAACTCAACCTACTTTTTATAACGGATTTATTAGCTTAACCTGAACCACATAAAACATATTAACAACTACTTATAACATATTGATAACTTGAGCTTAGGCTATTAATGATGCATCTTGCTATTTGATGACAAATTTATCAACTTAACCAAGTAGCACTACGATCTCGAATACACCATTACAAATGCAAGACTTGTGACTGCTCATCATAGATGTACCACGTAAAGAGAGAAAGAGAGACCACCCAAGCTAATATACTCATAGAGAGAGAAAGAGACAACCTACATGGCTTTACTCAACTAACAAACAATAAAAGACTGAATTAAATGATTAAGCAAAGAACACATGCAAAACCGATCTCATCATTTACCTTGTTCAGCACGGTCACAATAACAATAAAACTGAAGGTTAAAGCTGGGCTTTTCTTCCTTGACGAATTCCTACAGTCACAAATACCAAACACACTTAGAAGATCTAAATGCAGCAATATGAGATGCGAGGATAACAGTGGGTTTCTCATTTTAGCTACAAAATGATCTTATCTAGCTCACTTTTTCGAAGACGATCGCAAGAGCTCAGCTCGTTACCTTCACTGTGCGAAAATGGTTTCACTTTTTTGTTCTTTCCTTTTGATTCAATCAGGGCAAATGGGTAATTTTACTTATAAAATTATTCACACCAAAGGACCAAGGGACTGCAGAATAATTTCTCTATTTCATGGGACCTAACTATATTTAAGTTTTTTTTAAGTCTTGATTGTAATTTTTTCTAAAAATAATTTTCTCACAAAAGGTACTTATTGATTGAGTTGGTCCATGCATGTCTACCTTAGAACCTTCTCTAGCCATGTAGGTGGATAATTTTCTTTTTTGGCCAACAAAAAGTCAATTTTATTAATATGAAGAAATTATTACACTCACTAATATTGACAAAGCTAGAAAGCAAAAGAAAAGTAAAACCTGGAACAACAAAATCTAAAATTAAAGAAAGCAAGTAAACCTATTACTTGAGGTTTAATTGAGGTTGTACTTGTAGGTGGATAATTGAAGCATTAGAATCTTCGCAACCTTACTTAAGAACAATATAATTGAATATGTTTAATTTGACTTAACCACACACTGGCACGTGATCGTATTTCTTTAACACATCATTTGGGCAATTCTAAAGAGATAAATGATGGTTAAAGACCTGGAGGAGTATTGTAAAACTTATAAAATTTTAATTTTGAGAGAAGGAATGAGATTTGCAAATTATATGAATATGTTAAACTCAGATATAAAACTAACCACCGATACATCTCTCAAAAATAGCATTACTAACTGCCCTTGAGGCATACCAAAAACCTTCATTGGCATCACCTTGTTACTTCTAACAACACTATTGTAAATCAAGAAATTGAATCATCTTTCCCGATGACAAGTCTCTTTTTACATAGCTAGATTAAGAAGCCTTTAACTTTCCTGATCAATCTCATATCCTAATTATGAGAAGTCATTAATTTTTCTGATTTTCTGATTATCTGATATTCTAATAACCTAGTCCTAGAAGTTAAGGCTCATACGAAGCTGTACCACTACCACCGTCTCTTCAAAACCCTACAAACTTCCATCCAGTCTCGATAAAAATATCACACTATTTGACCTCTGTAACTTTCGTTTATCTTTTGACATTGTATTTGACAGAATCAGCGTGCCGGCTTTCAAATCTGTTGCGACGGAATAGAAAGGATATAGAAAAAAGATTTTTTGATGATCCAAATCAACAAAAATGGCTTGCTCGATTGCTAGATATCGGCGCCTGTGGGGATTCTAAGCTAAGTTTTCTGCTATGAAAGTAAACTTATAATTGGTGAAAGCAATAATGTCTTGTGATTGATCTGTAAAATTACTCCAATCGTTTATATAGTCCTCGTGATGAGGTTGCTCATGGCCATATTCAGTGTAAGTACGTTACAGGAAGAGGTTGTTCATGATTTGTTTCAACAAATAGCGAATTTGGTGTTATACTTTAGTGAATTAGTTTTCCTTAAAGGCAGATTTAGTATATATGGTAAGATTTTTCTGTTAAAGTTGAGGTTACATTTAATATTTTGTTTTTCTTCATGCTTCATTTGGTTAATTCTAAGTAATTAGCTAGCTATCACATGAGCTCATTTTGACTATTGAACTAATACATAAGAGTATCAGAAATCTCTTAGATGTTTGAAAATATAGTAAAAAATTTCCCATTTATTTTTTAATACAAAAACACTAAAATATTGCAAAAAAAAAACACCAAAAATATGGCAATCTAATTAATTTTGCAACCCTATCAATATATCAATAAAAGTTATGAAAAGTTATAGTATATCATAAGATAATGTGATTTATGTTGAAAGATTTAACTGTACAAGTACATGAGGCTATTTTAGTTATTTCTTCTTTTACAAAAAGCAATTTTTATTTTAAATTTTTAGTTGAGGAACCGATAAGATTAGTTATATATCAACAGAAGTTTGGATAGCTCAAATCTCAGTTCAGATGTTAAAAGCTTATTAAGTAAATAAATTTTTTTTTTGGATAAGATAAATTGTGGATGAAAAGAGCTTTGGAAGATAAAAACTCGTGTAGAGTGAAGCTACAAAATTGAGCTTTAAGACATCGCATGGGTAAAGAAGAAAGAGAAAGCCATAAAGACTTAACTTTGGATATTATTACAGATAACCCACTACTTTTTCTTTTTCGGGTATGTAGTAACTCACTCTTGTTGATTTGTTCAATGAATTGCATTAAAATGAGATGCTCATTTTGTAAAAAAAAATGAGCTGCTAATATATATATATAATGTGTGACGTAAAAATATTATTTTATTATTGGCATAAAAATAAATGTAAAAAATTTAGAATTTAATATTTATAATTTATCACTAAAATTCTACCCTTTTAAATTAAAATATTTTTAATTCATCAATTTATTTTTATTTTACCTTTTGAAAAATTGTAATTTTTAAGTTTATCATTTTTTTAAAAACATTAAATTAGTTACAAAAATATATAATAAATTCATATTTATTTTTGTCATTATACATTTAAATTAGTTTTAAATTATTATTCAAATAAATTCAGCTTGTTCAATTAGTTGTTAAAAAATATATCCAAACATAAATCACATTAAATTACATATTTTTTTAATCTCAATTTGTTAATCTTAGTTGTTTCTAGCTTTAATTATAAATTTTTTAATTCAAACACATTCTAAGTGTTGCAAGAGGTCAAGTTCAAATTCTTGTTAAGATAAATGCCTTCATTTAGTATCCACCATACTTCATACAAAATTATTTGAAATGCCTATTCAGTTAATTGTTTTTTTCCAAAAAAATATTAACCCTCTCTATTTAAAGATGTAAGATATTTTTTGAGGAGTTAAATATTAAAAATATAAGATATTTTAATCTTTCAAAATATAATCATTACTCTTTTTTAAAAGTACACTTAATATTAATTTTATATTTATTAAAGAGTGTTTAATAGAGATAAAAATAAAAAAATTATGTTAATTTAAAATAGATAATTATTTTATTAAAAATAAAATTTAATTAAAATATTTTATATTTTTAAAGTGAGTGTACATTTTTAAATATATATTAATTTGAACGGTAGCCGCGCGTTGGAAGCTCGATTTCGAAAATGCCGCCGTTTTTATTCCCGTAAGTCGTAACCAACTAGTAAGGCAATACTGTCACTCTTCTACCTAACTACCATTCCAGGTGAACACGACGACTGACTGGTGAATTCCCTCCACTTCACTTGACATCACTTCCATGGGACACCTTCTCTCTATTTCCTTCTCCATTTTCTTCTTAGGGTAAGGTTCTCCATTTTCCTCTGCTTCGCTATCAGAGCAGAGGCTCGCTGCTTGCTTCACTTCTTCCCTATACAATGGCGGACTCACATTCCGCTACATTTCACCACTCCTGTTGCTTCCTCTTCTTCTACTGCCATTCGGGATCCTTCTGAGCTCTCTTCGTCGTCCACCCAGATCTTCACGAGTCCCCCGCCAAGAGGAAAGTCGAAGTCATCATCCTCGATCTCAATCCCCTGGTCGAGAGCAGCATAATTTAAGCGTCATCGATTGGACATATCAAAATGCGTCTTCAGTGGCCAGGGATGATTCATGGTCCTGTATCGTTGTTCTTTTCACCTTTTGGTTCTTCGGTATGGATTTCTGTTGCGGATAAAATCACACTGAAGTTCGGTTTAAATCGTCCTTTGATTGGATAGATAATGCTGAAATTGTGTTTCAATATCACAGTGTCGATGACTATGATACTTGGAGTTTACGGGTCAATGAACCTCCTGCTTGGTCCAGTGCTTCTCTTCTTCTCCAACCTAACCCCATATTCGTCCAATATATAAAGGTTAAATTCTCGTTATTAGTTATTACTATTTGTTTTATCTTTACTTATAAAATTATCTGAGCCTCTGATTTGAGTTTGTTTTGCATTAGGTAGAAAGCTTAGATTCGAAGTCAGGAGTCATGCTCTATGGTACATACGGAACCCCCGCTCTTGATGTTTTCACTATTTGGACTGAAACTCGCAATGTAACTGTTCCATCTGAAGGGCATGAGGTAAGTACTACCCTTACATAATACTTCAGTGCAGAGTTCACTAACCCACAAAATGGAGAATATTTAAATGCCTTTTTTCTGTGTCATTGAAGACTGAATCTTTGTGGTCGAGGTAATAATTTCTTGTTCTCTACCCTAGGAATGAAATATTACCTGAATGAAGGGTCTCAAGTAAATATTTCATATCGCATGAGCTCTGAGAGCCCCTCTATTGTTCTTGTAATTGCAGAAAGGTATGCCTTCTATAGAGATACACGTGTGGTGGTTTTTTTTCTTTTTTCAAATTATCAGTCATATGAATACGGAATACCGCATAGTTAACACAGCTAGCGGGAAGTTGTTACACACTTTGCATCAAGAGAACTTCTGTAGAAAATTCTTGATAATCAGCTAGACCATCTGAACAAGTGTAACTTAAAAAAGGATCGATTTGGTGAAATCTATAAGCTTGGATTGATAACTGCTTCGCAACAGCTATAGCATACATATCTGTACCAAACCATGTAATGGACCGAGTAACTACCTCCAAACCTAATTGGTAATTCACAGAAACATCTCGACACACCTCGAAGAGAACACACACTAGGTAGCGAAATCTGAATCCTGGAAAAGTGCAACCACCTTGTCTCTATGATATTTAACACTGAAACTTATTTCACTTTTTCATCCTTGCTGTGTCTTAGTATCTTTAGCAGAGTGTGAGCTTCCCATAAGGGCATAGTATTTGTACAATCAGAATTATACTTTACTGAGAAATTATAGTATTGATCTGGCAGCTTTAGAATTGCTCTTGGTTAGGGATTCCCTTAATATACTATTTACACTCTCTTGAAATATTACTTTGACCAGAAAATAAAACTTTTTGCCTCCGAAATATACAGGGACTAGACTTTAGAAAATTCTTTGCATGAATATTTTTCCAGTTAGAACAGTTCTACCTCTTGCCAATAGAAAAAAGGTTTGGAAACGTTCCACTAACCTCTCTGGAAAATTTTTACATCATCACGATTTGGTCCCTGACCGAGGAAAGCAAGTCTGATAGTTTTAGCAGGCCTTGTCTGAGCATGTTTTGAGTACAATTCAGTTAAACATATAAGCTGCAGAAGTAATTGCTCTAGTATAGTATTAAAAGAGTCTGCAGAAGAATAAATTGCCCAGTCTAAGATGAAAAATGAAGAAGATATCCCTCATACATGGAACACAGTATGTGAAAACATATCATAAAATCGTAGAAATGATTGACCAATTGTAGAATTGATCGTGGCCCATTTTGGTTTCTCCTAACGAGTTAAATGCTGAGACTCTAAGTAGTACAATTTTTTATAGTAACCTTGCAAACTCCTTCCTTGTTTTAGCTATCGCAGATTTCATAGGACTTGTAAAACCACTTTACGTGTTTACATTGTACAAGAATCTATGGTTGTACCAAATATTTTCAAGAATAAATTCAGTGAACATGTTATTCGGTTGCCATTTCTTGCAGGGGATAAAGGCCTCTCTCAGTGGCTGGACTATCCATCATATCCTAAAAGCACTCTTTCATGGAACATTATCCATGGTAAGTTGCAAGAAAGTGGTAAGAAACTCGATCAGTGTTTATATTGATCCTACACTGATGTTTATTATTGTTTCTTTGCAGGAGCTGGTATGATAACACAGGACATATTCAGTTCATCGAACTATTATTTGGCACTAGGAAATCTGAACGAGGAGGAGGCAGAGGTATTTTTGCAATGCTTTACTTTCTAGTCTTGTTGTGTTATTTTAAATTCTCTAAACGAATTGAAATTGGCAATTTTCTTTGATGATGAGTCCATGATATGCCATTTTTTTTGGGGAGAATCAGTTGTGGCCTGTGGGGAATACCACTCTCGAACCAAGTTAAATAGATCCACTTTATCTAATTGTTGACAGGTCACTGAGTGTAGAAATGATCCTCAGCTGATCCTGATACCTTGGATTTTTGAACTAAAACAACTGAGATACCTGGTTCTTTAACATGATGAATTCTGTATTATATTGCCGCCTTCATCAAATTCCAAGTTCACCTGAATTGTAGTTGTGTCTTGCACATTTGCTGCATCATGCATATTACTCACTTTGACAGACCAAGGAGTAACTGCAGACCTCAAAGGTTCATATTTCATGCATGAAAATTATGTAGGGTAAATAGCTTGTTAAAAATATTTTCATCCTATGTAATTTTTTAATCCAGCATTTGGACACTTTCATTTCATAAGAAGTACAGTAAAATGGTATGGACGTAACAATAATTCTGGACCTGAGAGAGTTTTCTGAGTGTGGCAAAGATGATTTCTGATACAAATTCTATTGTCAGATTTCACAAACCATATTTCTCATGAAATCTGGGTCAAGTTTTCCGGATGTAATTTTATGCTAGTAGCATAAAAACAGTGGTCGATTTTATTTTATTTTTCTTGACCTTCTCATCGAACAGGTGGAACTGATCATCAGAGTAAGGGCGGCCATGTATAATACAACTGATGCTTACTACAAATGTAATTTGACTAGTGACCCATGCGGATTGAGTGTTTTCTTTCCTGATGGGAATGCAGCCGTCTTAACATCTCCTGGACCACAACAGGTAAGCTTATTATATATATGCTCGAAACCAAAATAATTATTGCTCAAAGCTGGCAGTGGGGTTTGTCTTGGAAGTAAAATGTTTCTAATATAACTCAAGTAAGACTGCCAATATGATTCAGTCCCTATTCTTTTACCGTTACTTAATGTTTTCTTTTATTTGCTTCAGAACACATCCACAAATCAGTGGTATATCAAATTGTCCTATGGACCAAGATGGGTCACATATATTTTTGGCATGGGTATGCTCTTTATATGTTCAACTTCCTACTCACCGTTTGAAGCCTAATGTGATTATATATTTTACTATTTTTGTCCTTCCTCCGCACAGGTGGATTGACTTTGCTTATTTTTTGGCCTTCAACTACCTTAACAAGCTCCATTATTCTCAAGAAGATAGCGTAGGAGTTAGACATGAGGGAACAGTACCTCTAGGAGTCCCTTTGCTTTCTCACAAAGATGATGATCTTTCCAGCTTGGGTTCATCATATGAATCCATGTCACAAGATGAGGAGGATCTTAGCTTTCTTACGGGGGATTCTATTAATGGGAAGTCATTAGCTGATGGTGAAACCGGTAATAATACAAGGCGCCTCTGTGCAATATGCTTGATGCTCCAAGGGACTGCTTCTTCCTTCCTTGCGGACACTGCGTGGCTTGTTTTGAATGTGCAACAAGGTAAGCAACAGCCACTTTCTCATGCTAGATCCCATTTTCTAGTTCTTTGTTTCATTACAGGCACAAATTTAGGTAATGAAAGTTTGCAGTGGATTCTTTACCTTGATTTTGACCTATTAGGGCCAACTGACCATTGGCTTGAAATTTCATATTAGCAGCTTAGCATGCTGCATTGGGATATACACAAAATGTGCCAATTTATATGGCATGATTAATATTAATGATTATATGAGCTTGGAGAATTTATGTTGTGATGTCGCAGTTGGATTAGAAAGAACTCTTCTCATCTAATCTAATCCTACCAAATTTCTACAGCGAGGGGAACTGTTGAATTATATACTCATCTTTGTCACTCTCCTGTAGTGGTATTTCACCACAGTATAGTAACTAGGACGGATCCAAAATTTCCACAGTAAAAACTGTCATTTGTCATGGATCTAAGGAAATGAAGAGACTTTTCTGCATTGCAAATAATTATATTATTCTTCCTCAATCCTAAATTATAAAACAACGTCAAAGCAATTTTTGCCCTTAAATATGAGGCAATTTGAGAAAACTAAAATTTCATTAATGATACTTTTTTAATATTATTCTTTAAGTGAAAAGAAAATTAAAATGATATTATAAAGTAATGATTAAGAAAAAACTTATATATTTAAGGTATTTGTATCCAATTAAATTATGACATGCGAATCTTTTATAAATTATTTATTCTACAGTAAGTTCTTATTATTGATTAAACTAATATATAAAGATCCACATGTCATAATTTGATTAGATATAAGTATATTAAGTATATAAGATTAAGTATATAAGTCTTGTCCAATGATTAATTGTATAGGGGCATTTTTAAAAATTTATAGTTTTGTTTTAAAAAATAAGTTGGTAAAATGTCATTATTGTGTTTTATTGATATACATAATTTTATCTCAAATTGTTTTATAATTTGAGACTGAAGGAGTAGTAATTAATTCAATAGATCATATTTTTTGGCATGAATGTAATGAATCAGCTTACGCAGGTCATTATGTGATCATGTATGACCAATCTAATTTGTGCAGGTTAGCAGAGGCAGACGGTACTTGCCCTGTATGCCGCAGGAACATGAAGAAAGTGAGAAAGATATTTACTGTTTGAGCAGTGGATGCAGTGCGCAGTGTCTTGTGGCACAGACAAAAAATGAATGGCCAGATCAGAACCACAGATTTAGTTTGCATCTTATAAGCCACTGTTTTCCTGAAAATCATTAGCAATAATTGAGCTAACGGTAGCTGGTGGTGAGGGTAGTCATAGACAGTATTCATTGGCCATTTGACGGACAGCCAGAGGAAATGAAAAGGGGCAAGGTGTGTTTTTGGTACATAATGAGATTGCTCTGTTTCTCAAATGACACGGGATACAAAGGTTTTTATGTGGATTTTTTGCCTTGCCCTTTTCTTCCTGGAATCAGGAAAGGCCGCAAGAGGAGTGCAAATTGCCCAATTTTTTCTTATCATTATACTAGTTTGGATTTTATTCGTATAATTCAAGAGATGATAATTTTTTGCGATTTATCAGAAAAATTTGAAGTATACGTTGTTAGGTTTCTTTGATAAAAATATAACATTTGAATTACGACGCCACAGGATCGACTCTTGTGAAAGAAATTTCTTTACATGTTCTATTTATATGAACGAACTTGAACTTGATGGTAAATAGCTGAAGAAATTTATTACTTAAGAAAATAGAGAAACTTCCGGGTGTCCAATAAAAAGGGGGATAGGGGTTGGATTGAGCAAATTTAATAAACAAACTGGTCTGGTGATACTGAAATTTGAAAATTTTCATGATATTATCGTGCCGTGTTACGGAAAAGAAAGAGCCGTCATGGAGGCAATAGACTTCTTGGCAAGAATCACTTGGCGACATATATTTACTAAAGATAACTGGTCGCAGATTTTTCTCCAACGTAAAAAATAAGTCAGTTTTAAAACTTTAATAAGAGCAAGTTTGATATCTAATAACACATATTATTTACACACATTTCTTAGTCAATTAAGACCATTTTTTACACATATTAAGTGTCTATATATACATTCATATTACATTCTTAATGCAATGTTATCTAAGTGTTCAATTACATGCAAAAGAGATTTTTTGGTCATAAAATGCACCTTTTAACCAAATTAACGTTAAGCTAAATATTCATGTCTTTTAATGGACTAAGATGATTGGTCTAATTAGTTTTCATTAATTTATCCTAAATTGAGAATTATTAGTAAAAGAACATTTTAAGGTTGTCTTCCTAAAAATTTCCATTTAAGCCTTTAATTTTGATTTAAGTGTGTGCTTATCTACATTTGTGTCTTGTGAGGCTTTCACATTCATTTTTCCTTATTCATTTTAATACTTTAGATGAATTAAATATTTTCTATCTTAATCTAATTAAATAAATGCCACACTATAGTTATTTAATTATTTGATTTAATTGCAACTTAAGTGAATTAGTGTCACAAATGAAGACAAAACTCAAGGCAATTGAAGAGAGCTTCTACAGGGCATATGTGGCATGAATAATTAGACTTGGAGAGGTCCAAATTAAGCTTAAAATGATATATTATATTGAATCAAGCTTATATTGTAATTAATCATCACCAATTTCCCCTCCAAAATGCAAGTAGTTTTGGCCACTCGGGTAATTAGTTGAAGAGCACAATCAATTTAGAAGTTTTCATAATTTTTCTCTCATTTTCATTCACCTAGTTTCGTGCTTCACACATATAATTCAAATCTCTCACTAATTTTCCTATCTTCAAACATTTCCCTCACTTTCTTACTTGTTCTTCAATTTTTCCATTCAATCAATTACTTGTATCTTTCTCATTTCATCCAAATCACACAAAACCACACTCATTCTTCTCCTCTTCCTATTTTCGTCCAAACCCTCATATTAAATCAAGGATCGAAGGCTCATGTCGTCATTGGAAGGAGATGAAGAGGGATGGCCTTATGGGTTTTTCCTTAGAGGCTTTGAAGATGATGATGGATTACTAGATTTCTCAACGGTCTAGGAAGGTGGATGGAGGATGAATCAATGATCTTTACATGGCTAAGCTCTTCTAATTCTTTTAGTTTCTTTCATTTGATTTAATGGTTAACACCTTAGTTTAGGGTTACTCTATTATTGGTTTGTAATTCTAGTTGGAATTGATCTTGATGTTATGAGAGATACGTGTTTGGTTGATTGAATTCTTGTGAATTTCCTTGATTAATTCAATCATCAATGGGAGAATAAATAATCTTGTGTTTTTTTCTATTGATGAATTTCTTACTTTACTCTTACATAGTCTTGTGGGTAAAGTTGAGACATTAGAAATAATCACCGTAATCTTGTTCAATCTAACATTAATTTGCCATAGTTTTGACTAGGGTTTTTTTAACTTAAACACTTAGTCAATATAAAATCAAATTAGAGAAATAACTTAAGGACATTAGTTGATGACTCAAGGAATTGAACTAGCTAGATCATATTTCTCAGGATAGTCTTCATAAGGAACCACTAAAAGGTCAAGAAGAAAAATTAATCACTAAAGCCATAAACATTTATAAAGATAATAATTCTTGCACTATCTAAACTCTAAGGTTCCACTTCATTAAAGAATATTCACACTTTAGCCTAGTTTTTTAGCATTTTAGTTTAAAGTGTTAGTTAACATCTCTAAACTTTTAGGTAATTTGTCCACTAGATAATTTCACAATTAAATTGAGCTAAGGAGATGATCTAGGTTGATCTTATACTATATTAGGGTTAGAATTAGAACTATTTTAATAGGTGTACGATCCACCTCTATCAATATTTAGGAATTATAGGTAAAGAAATGAAATTGGAATTGAAATCCTTACTTATGCATGTTTGGTATGACACATTTAAGATTCTCAAGAATCCTGATTCCATCAAAACTCCTTGAATCCATTTCCATCCTCATTTCTATGGAATCATATTACTGTTACGAAATCCAATGTTTGTCTCACTATTATCCTTGTGAATGGTTCCGCTCTTTCTCTCTACCGTGCTCAAGTTCAGCTTTGTCAATACAAGAGAGCAAAGGTCCTCTTACTTTTGTTTCATCCTCTCTTTCTCATTATTATGTGATTCAAAGCCAAAAATTTGATTTTTGCTGAAGGGGCATTTTGTTTTTTTTATTTCAAATATATATATATATTATTAAAATTATATTAGGATTGCATCTTCATATCAAACATACTTTCAAAACTCATTCTATTCTGATTTTGATTCCAACTCTAATTTTAATTTCCTCAAAAAACTCTTCCATCGTATCAAATAGGGCCTAAGTAAAAATATATGCTTTGTTTAATATAATTATTAACACTTAACTAGCATAAAAAAGAAGGCCTATTTTTCATGGAAATTGCCACAAACGTTTCTAGACAAGCTTGAATACATGTTATGAAAAAATATTGGTGATTCATCCTTTACTTACGGCCTGTAGAAATAAGAGCAGCTGAAGAAAGTAGTAGGAGACTCCTCCTACAGTAGCATACTGCAACTTTTCTTGTCCTTCTACTCCTGGGAAGTCTTCATCTTTAACGGTTAAAGCCTCCAACAAGCCATCCCAGATTCCTATAACTTCCTTCATACAGCTTTGAAACTGCTATCATTGACCTTCCCAATCAACAAAACCAACAAGTAAACTTTTTGGCCACTCCGTTTGATTCTAGCTTGGATAATTTTGCATCAAGTTTGGAACAAACCCCGTATGCAATACAAATGAAGAAAATTTCAAATTACTAAATTAATGAATCTGCAAGAATAGGGATAAATATCTTGGCATTTGAAACCCTCTTGTTTGTTAAGACAATTTGAAGCTGTCATACTAACAGTTAATAAAACTTCACATATGTGAGGTTCCCATGGCTTTTGGGTGGTATCTTAGATAGGCTACTGTAGATTTAATAGTAATGCTCCTTTGAAAGACAAAGTTTTTCAGAGCTGAAACAAAATGAAGAAAACTCGGTAAAATTTATTTTTAAAACAATTTTGTGTAAATTTGAAAAATAAAAATTACATAATTTCAATAAAAACTAATAAACATTTACTCAATAATAACTGATTGACCATATTTGGTATGCCCCATCAAAGTGTAATGTTTTTGGTTCTGAGTTCAAATGCTGATAAAAGAAGAGCCAAAAGAGGGTGAATAATAATCCTATTCTAGTTCTTCTTCTCTGATACACAGGTATTTTCCAACTGGAAACAACAGTGTTTGAGCAACTCTCCTAAATTCGAATATTGATTTGTTATATTGTCAGAAACTTGTCCATTCTATTAGATTCAACCCGTTGACAATATCATATTCTAGTTCTAGTGTGTGTGTAGATTAGATTTTTCAGCAAAAAAACATCAGTTAGATTATCACCTGAGACCTTCACCACAGGCCACGAGAATGCTGGTGTCCTTAATTGGAATGGCCAATTCCACTTGAGCAAGGAAATCAGGGTTGATAGGAGTGAGGTACTGTCCTGTCCACAACCCAATATAACCAAAGTGAACCCACTTCTTCAACAGAGTCACAACACCCCCATCCTTGTCTTCCACGAAGATTGGCACGTGCACTGACTCTTTGGCACGTGCTTTCTCCCTCTCCCACACTGGCCTCACGTCTAGCAGCACAAACCCCTCTGTGCTCATCGCCTTGCAAGCTTCGCTCGGTTGTATCGCCCTGACGGTGCCGGACTCGATGAGCTTCCGTCCACTGCTGCTTCTGCCGTTGCCTGGAGAAGAAGACGACGTCGCATTGATCACTTGAAACCTTGTGGCTCCCCTTATCATGGCTGTAGCCATCGTTCTTCCCACTCTGTTGTTGAAGCACCCGGACTTTGGAAGGGACGTGTTTGGGAATAGGGATAACGTTGCCGATATCTGATCAGACTTCCTGAGATTTCTATTTTGTCTGTTTGTTAACTCTGTTTCTTTTGAGTTATCTGTAACAATTTTCAAACATTTGATTGGCTACTCTCTTTTTCACTGTGTGTGCCAAGACTGCCCCGTTGTGTGTACGTGTGTAATTAATGAAGTACCAATGCGCTTGCCTTGAGATCGAATTCGAGTAGTGGAATGTCCGGTAGCATCAAAGTATGAACGAGGAACTCGTAAAACTGCCCATAATAATAAGGGTATTATACAGCAGGAAGTTTTTCAATATATAACGATGAAATCATCATATATATATATATATATATATATATATAATGAGGAGTAAAATTTTTAGACAAAACTATATCAAAGAGTTAGTTGAAGTTTTCACAAATGTGTTGTAGATTTTATATGGGGAACATTACATCCAAGAACTTGGGAAGCACATTTATCACAAAAAATTAAAGAAATTCGAATATTGCTTTGCAAGATCAAAAATAAAATATAATTGAAATTTATAGTGAAAAGACAAAATTATCCTTTTTATGTTTCCCCCCCTAAATCCCTCCACTTCATCAGCTGCTAAAATATCGTCAAAACTACGACTGCCTTCCACTAAATTGCCACCACCTAACTGAGTTACTAAAA